CAACAGGATGGTACCTATTCACAGACACCATCAGCTTCATCTCCTGTCTTGGAGTTTTCGATTGCTCATGGAATGCAAACCATGCAAAGGGCTTTAACGGAGTTGGAAGAAAAAAGTAATAGTAGCGCGTCGACGATGCAATACTTGGAGGCAATGGCTTGCCCTCATGGCGGATGCATCAACGGTGGGGGCGCTATTTCAACTCGGGCCACAACTAACGGAGCCATTGTTCGGGAGACGCCAACCGAAACGCGTCAGCGAGTCCAAAAATCATTGCATTATCTGGAACTTCCTCCTCGTCCGTCGCATTCTGGTAAACCGAATGGTATCGGAAGCAGAAGGACGCGCTATCATGCTGTGCCCCAAATGCAACACACTCTAGGGGCCACTGCAGGTGTGAAGGTAGAGGATATTCAATGGTAAAGTCAAGAGGATTGGAAAACTTGGTCCCCCCAAGTTACATCCATTGGAAAGAAGGGACGAGTAGAAAAGTAGAGCTAGTTAATACAATTCATTACTCAATTCTTTTGGGATTTCTAGTCGACAAAGTTCAAAAGAAAGTCGTTTTTGGCAACTATTGATTTCTTCGTTGGGTGTACTCTTTTGCAACATCCGTTTCAGGATAATGGTAGGTACTTGTACACCACCAAAATCGGACAAAAGAGCCATACATACATGTCTCTCGTGTGTAGTAAAGTTTTTTTGCAGATTTCCTTGCAGAACTGGAGATGATAAACCAGTATAGGAGTACCTGGTAGTTCATGGTGCCCAGCCACGCCTACAGAAAAAAAGGCAACACAAAGGAATTGGTCGTGGCATTCGTCTTGTGTACCCATCTGCCATGACATGCAGTAACTTATGCTGTATTCAGTTAATGTAACATGCGTTTCTATCGTCATTCCTCGGCTTGGTCCTAACGAGATTGTTGGACCTGATAAAGTGAGAGAAATCGTCGATGCCTTTGACCCTTCGATTCTTGGAAACGAAAGGAAATTTAACATAGCAACCAACAATGATATGACTGAATGCTTGCAGTTGCGTTTGGTCTAGGTATTAAAATAATAGTAATGATATCAATATTATCGTATAATTGGTCCATGCCTAGATCCCCGTGCTTGAAAGCCATTGTTCTCTTGCTTGACGGAATGCCTGTCCAATGGTCATGTCCCCAGGGTTCACGCCTTGTGGAATTCCCTGCTGTTGTGGTACTCCTTGATTTTGTGAAGGCATACCTCCCATCGTTGGATCCATGGGTTCGTCATCCCGCAAAAGTACAGCAGCCGATAGCTTGGTTCCATCGGTTTCCAAAATAATACCTCCATCGCAATGTTCATCAATTAATAGGAATACCAATTCAAGGTTATCCAAAACCATTGTTCTTTCAGTTGTTCCACCCATCAATTGGGCAAGAGCATCGTACATTCCCTCGCACAAATAAGCCAAGACGAGCTCACTCTCACTGGCAGGACCCACATGAACGACTCGCACATCTCCATTGGGTCCCGCGTTGGATCCACCGCAAAAGACCACGGCCTTGCCCATGACACTAATGACTTCCGCAGCATCCGGCCGGGCAACAATTCCGGAAATCTTTTGTTGAATTTGCTTTTCAAACGCAGTTTTCATTTCCTCGGCCGTCTTGCCAGATTCATCGGTTTTGAGAAAGTCGCCGTAATATTTGCCAGCCAATCGTTGACCTTCATTGTCTAGAACCAAAATGGCTTCAACCTTTGGGATAAGTGGAGCTGACTGTAATGTTGAGAAGAAGAGTCGAAGAGAAGAATTGAGATACATTAATGGATACACTAATAATGGACATCAATGAATGATGTCTGGAAGAAAGCATTTCAAACTTTCATCAATCTTGCTGGAAACTATTCCGATGATGACTCCAAATATCGATCTGATTTCATTGCTGGCTTCAAAATAGCCTTTCAACTTGAATTGGTCATCAATCAACGCACCATTACTATAAGTATATGTTCCTATGGTCGAGTAGAGTTACAATGAACAGTTCATCCATCTGAGAGCATTGCCAAACGCAGATCGGCGCCGACAGGGTCACAGGGGACGGGAAGACGATATGTGGGGAGGGGGAGGGGCGAGTGTTGAGTCGTTGATCCCCTCTTTTTCCACGTCAGCCTTTTGAGCACGTAATTCGCGCGCGTTTTGCGTGAATTCTCAATATTTTCTCTCTTCCTTTTTTCATTTTTGATGCCTTTGTTGACAGATTCAATCGCCGAATCGAATCTCAAACCGGTAGCTTTTGTCCACTTTCACTCCAAAGATTCATATAATTTCTGCATTGGAAGTCCTTATTGACACTCCATTAAAGTTGAAAGCAAACGGTATCCTCGATTGACCTATAGCAAGTCAACTGACGCAGAACTTCTGTCCTGGGAAACCTCCGAACCGGAAATTCTGCTCTTGTATTCAACAGCTCTTTCATTGACACCAATTCAAAACGTCTGATTCGCACGCAGAGATTTCTTAACATGGATCATCATTCTTTCTCCTTCGCCTTTTTACTGGTGACAATTTTTCTTTGTTGCACGATCGAAACAACTCTGTCTTATCAGCTGATTCCTCAGAAAGCACGAAAATTGTTTCAACAAAGCAAACAACAAGTTTCGAAACGGTCCTTCCGAAACCTGGATGTGGAAGAGACCGATGCTACTGATGCCTACGATTCGACAAAGCCGTTGAACCTTGGCGTCGTCGGACTCAAGCTACAGCAAATTGCTCAAAAACGTGCCTCCATCATGGCGCTCAAAAAGCAAAAGCCTGAGGCCATTGTGGCCAATGAAATCAGTCGCTTACGACAGACAATCTTGGACGAACAAAAGGAATTGAGACGGGTTCGTATCGAAAACTATGTCCAAGAGCAAACGGAAGCCATTGCCGATCATCAAGTTCTTCAATTGATCAAAGAACGGTTTGACAGCTACTCCACACCTGGACATCGCAAGGACAATTCCACGTTGGCCCTCGCCATTGAAGGTGGAGGCATGCGAGGGTGTGTCTCGGCTGGCATGGCAGCTGCCATTGCCTCTCTCGGATTGACAGGTACGAACAAACAAAACAAAACTTGTTGTTGCTTGGTGTTTGGAATCTTACTCGTTTTTTTTTTCTCAACCAAATTTTCCAGATGCATTTGATACCGTCTATGGATCATCGGCTGGATCAGTTGTTGGTGCCTACATGATTAGCCGCCAGATGTGTGTCGATGTCTATGTAGACATTCTCCCGGCTGCCAAGAAAAAGTTTGTGTGCAAACGGCGTCTGATTCGATGCATTGCGGCCAATTTGGCAGATGTCATGGTCACGGAAATGAAGCGCAACAACAATTTGCCCTTGAATGTCGAACCAAAACAATCGTCCTCTACTAGCGAAGGGAGGACACCGGGAATGAACATTTCCTATGTCTTGGATGGCATCATGGGCCTCAGCGAAGGTGTGCGACCTTTGGACATGGAAAATTTTCAAGAGAATAACCAACGGCAACGCTTGCGCGTGGTTTCCTCGACCGTCGACGAAGACGGCAACTTGCGCTCCAAGGTGTTTGGTGCGGAAGACTTTTTCAACTCTACCATGAAGCAAATGAAAGACAAAGGCGATCGTGAAGGTCTCTTTGCGTGTTTGCAAGCTAGCATGACTGTCCCCGGAGCCACTGGCCCTCCTGTCCGACTCCATCGTGCAAACAATAAGGACAATGTACTGCCGTGCTTTGACGCATTTTGTTTCGAGCCGATTCCGTATCGATCGGCTGTGGAAGAAGGCGCCACCCACGTCTTGGCCTTGTGTACTCGCCCAGAGGGTTGTCAACTCAAGACAAAGCCAGGTGTGTACGAGCAGGGAGTCGCACCAATCTACTTTAAGTCGCATGGCCTACCAAAGGTAGCAGAGTATTTTGAGAAGGGAGGTCAGCAGTACATTTATGCTGAAGATATCTTGACACTCGAAGAGGGCAAAATGGCAAGGTCTTCCAAAATCTCGGTGCCACCTCCAAAAATTTACCACGGCGTGGCGCAAACAGTCGACCATCGAAAAGAAATTGCAGAACGCAGCACAGGGTGGAAAAAGGCTCATTTGCTACCATTGAAGGTTTCGAGTAGCACTCCCGAGCTTCCGACTTTGGAACAAGACAAGGACGCGGTGCTGGAAGCAGTTCGTTCAGGATATGCTGCTGCCTTTGATATGTTGGCTCCAATTGTGGGTTTGGATTTAGACGTCCCAGGTTCTGAAGTAAGCAAATTTATCTTTCCAAGGAAATCCACAGAAGAAGAAGAAGAAGAGTCTCCAATCTCCGAGGAAGATATGGAGTTGGAGGACGAGCGACTCTTGAACACTCAGTTGCATGTACCGGGAGCAGCGATTCCAAGCTTTGTGAAAGTTTCCACTGACGCCCAAGATATGGAAGGCCCCAATGGAGCTCCTCGGCGACGAAAGCGAGAACGGCTACGCTCGATGGTTGTTCGAATCGTAAAATGGAAACGAAAAAGGAGGCAACCAATGCCAGCTGTTGCTTCGAGTGGTTTGGAACTTGCTCAACTCGACGAGTATTTATCTTCTGATTTCCCATCATCGGAAATGGCTCAGACTTTGCTGAAAAATCTACCTGGCCTAAATGGGGAGCGTGCTGTGTTTCATCACCTCAGCAAGGGCCTTCGTAGCTCAGTCTTTGATGGAGAGGCAACGGCATGATCCAGACTTTTCAGCTGTCGCTATCAACTTGTAGTATAGATATTTTTAAAACTCGTATTGCTATTTTAAATTACAATTCTTCAATGCTTTATACTCTTCTTCTTTTGATGCTGAGTTGCAGTGGGACGAAGATCTTCGAGAGTGCTTTCTTGCAACTACATCCATTATTGCTTGTCCTCATGCATCCAGTACTCTTCATGGGCAAGCTCTTGGATTTCGTCTCAAGCTCCAGAGAAACATGCGAAATTGCTACTGTACGTTCTTGGAGAATGCCTGCTTGGGACTCTCCTCTGTCTTGTTTTATGATCCTCTCAGCAGCCACGTCTCGATGAAGAAACCACATTCAAGTCAGTGCAAGTTGGATGAATCCACGTTATCGTCTGTTCCGTACAGTACACGAATACGGAATACTATATTATGAGCCAAGGGCATCGATGTAGCAGCAGCCACACAATTTCCACTTGATCGTTTTCGCATGCGAGAAACAGTGGAGTCAATTCCTTCTTTGTCACAGCTTTCACGTCAGCACCTCGGTCCAACAACAGCCCGGCTATGTTGGCGTGCCCTTCCCAGCATGTAATGTGGAGTGGTGTCCAATGATTGTGAGTTTTGACATCCACGCCAGCACCTTGGTTGAGCAACAGTTGGACAACCTCCAGTTGACCACTTTGGCATGCAATGTGCATGGATGTCAGATCATGGTTGTCTCTTGCGTCCAGGTTTGCACCTCGATCCAAAAGCATTTGAACTACTCTAGCGTGCCCACAATCCGCGGCTAATTGTAGCGGTGTCCATCCTGTAGATATTTTGGCTTCTATATCAAAATACTGATCCACAATCATGTGGGCAATCTCAACATGTCCGTTTGCGCATGCCATATGGAATGGAGTAAACTTCTGAAATCCTTCGGCGTTCACGTTGGCATTTTGAATAAAAAGCCAGTATACCATATCCAAATGACCACTCTCGCACGCTAGATGCAGCGGGGTGAATCCATGTTCCGTTGCTGCTTCTAAGTGGGCACCTCGATTCAACAATACATTGGCAAGCACCAAATCACCCCTTTGGCATGCATAATGTAGTGGCGTTTTCTGATGTTTTTCGGTGGAATTGACATTGGCCCCTTGATCTAATAAGGCCCGAACAGCATCCACCCGATCATTGAGGCATGCGACATGTAGTGCTGTCAGCCCATGTATTTGCTTGGCTTCCAAGTCGGCACCACGTTCGATCAACAGTCGAGAAATCTCCATGGAACCGTTCCAAATAGCAGCATGCAGTGGTGTGGCCAACTTGCGGTCCCTCTCATTTACGTCTTCCCATCTATCCAGCGCATCTTTCACAGCCGTCAAGCTTCTTTCATCGACAGCATCACGCACTGACATTCTACGGTACATACCGGTAATATGAAATGTTGTGTTGAAATAATATTTCCCCCTTTATGCCCCCTTTACCGCCTTACTTTGGGGATCTATCCACTGACGTAGGACTCAAACGCTCGTCTATCCGTATGACGTCGATAATCAATCTGCCTCTGACTCGGATGGTAGTATTCGTACAGCGTACAGTCTCGTAGCTGTTTTTAGCGTAAAAGTTCCTCACAAATCTCACAGAATTAGCAAGAATTCTTTTTTCAAACGCATGCCTCATAAATTTATTTGTGCATTGGCAAGACAGCAAGACATCCATATTCCCTTCCGCTCATCGCAGCCTCCGATTCCAACGTAGATTCAAAGACTAAAGCTTCTCAACAGTATTTTATATCTGCCTGCAAAGCTTATCTGAAGTATAGCAACGAGATCTTTCCCATCAGTAGCTTTTTCGCCCGTTCACGCACATCAAATCCATCAACGTCACACTTGACTTGATGGCCCCCCAAAATTCAAATTCTGTCAACTTTTTGTTACTTGTGACTATCTTATTTTCCTGTACCATTCAATCATGGTCGTTTCGGGTAAGCAATGGACAGCAAGGTCTGGTTCAGAATTATCAAGTGCTAGATACAGAAGGAGATGATGTCCTCCGTGGTGAGGAAAGTCAAAATTCTCAATATGGCGCGTTTGGAATTCTTCCACCAAAGTCCAACAACAACAAAACAAAAAAACTAAAACCAGATACCATCATTGTCGATGATATCGAGAGCCTGCGACAAGCAGTTCTTGATGAGCAAACAGACCTGAAAAAAGTACGCATAGAGAACTATGTTAAGGAGCAAACGGAAGCCATCAGCGACCATGAAGTTTTGAGGCTCATCAAGGAACGCTTCGAAACCTACTCCACACCTGGAAACCGAAAAGATAATGCCACTCTCGCCATTGCAATGGAAGGTGGTGGCATGAGAGGATGCGTATCTGCAGGCATGGCAGCAGCTATTGCATCCTTGGGACTCTCGGATGTATTCGACACAGTCTATGGCTCATCAGCTGGATCTGCAGTGGGAGCTTACCTAATCAGCCGTCAGATATGCCTTGATGTTTATCTTGACATTCTTCCAGCAGCGAAGACACAGTTCGTCTGCAAGAAGCGTCTGTTTCGATCCATGGTCTCGAACCTTGCTCAAGTCATGGTATCAGGCCTGAAGCGAAGCAAGACTACCGACCAAACAAGCACTGTCGAATCCAGCGACAGGATCACACCAGGATTGAACATTTCCTATCTTCTTGATGGTATCTTGGGCCATAACCATGGCTTAAGGCCACTGGATATGGAAAAGCTTGAAGAGAACGAGAAGAAGCAACGCCTCAGAATTGTTTCGTCAGCAGTGGATGCTGACGGCAACATGTTCTCCAAGGTTTTTGGTTCAGAGGACTTTTTCAACTCGACCATGATGCAAAAGCAAAAGAACGGTAACCGACAAGGCTTGTTTGCCTGTATGCAAGCCAGCATGTCAGTCCCAGGCGCTACTGGTCCACCGGTAAGGCTTCACAGTGCAATGAATGAAGATGACGTGCATTCCTGTTTTGATGCCTTCTGCTTCGAGCCCATCCCATTTCGATCAGCGGTGGAAGAAGGTGCGACCCATGTCTTGACACTATGCACCCGTCCCGAAGGCTTCAAGATTAAGACCAAGCCAGGTATGTACGAGAAGGGAATAGCATCCGTCTACTTCAAGTCTCAAGGTATGTCCAATGTGGCGGAGTATTTCAAAAAGGGAGGCCAGCAGTTCATCTATGCCGAGGACTTGCTGACATTGGAAGAGGGCAAGATATCCAAGTCATCCCCAGTGCTGGTGCCACCACCAAAGATCTTCCACGGCATAATGCAAACCGAGCAACACCGACGAGAAATTGAGTGCCGCGACAAGGAATGGAAAAAAGCATTCTTGTTGCCACTCAAAGTCCCTGAGGATACGCCCGAACTTTCCACTGTCGAGCAAGACCGAGAATCGGTTCTGGCAGCTGTTCGGTCTGGTTATGCCGCAGCCTTTGATTTGCTGGCACCGGTAGTTGGTGTCGATCTGGGTCTGACAGGTGACGAAGTAAGCCAACTCATCTTCCCTACCACACCATCACACGTACACTATGACACTTCCTCTTCTACACCAGTCAAGGATCCAGAGATGGAGGACGAGCGAGTATTGAATACCCAACTACGTGTTCCTGGAGCGCCGATCCGAAACTTTGAGGTATCAACTCTTGCATTCGATGGGTGGGAAAAGAAGCCAAGGGCCCGTCGGGAGCGTGGACTCCGCCGTGCGCACCTTTTGAAGGTTGTGCGTACGCTTGGAGGAGATTCTTTCCGTCATCCTGCTGCATTCCCAAGACCGACATCAACTGGTGAGTCTCCTTCTTCTTCTCTTGCAAATGAGTCGGCAGAGTTAGCACACGTTTTGTTGCATAGCCTCCCTGGTCTGAATGGTGAGCGAGCTTTCCTTCACCATCTCAGTAAAGGTCTTCGCAACGCAGCTTATGGTCGTGAACCATTGCAATGAACAATATATGTTTTTTGATAAACTTCTATGTTTTTGATAAATGTCTTGTTCTTGTTGAATAAAAAAAATTGTTCTATAGAATATTTTTTACTTGACGATTGTCTACCCACCCTTTCTCTCTTTATTGCTAATTTTGAACAAGAAGAAGGTTTAATCGGTCAATTGTGCCATCAAGCTTGCCATCTGGTCCTGTAGGACCTTGAGTTGAGTGGCTGCAGTAGCTTTCATGTTGCTGTCCAATCCTTGAACTCCTGATGGATCAGTAAGAGAGATGAATTTTCCATCTCCCACACTGATCTCAAAACTTGCGCTTTCACTTTCATTTCCTCGTCTCTTCTTGGAAACTGTGGCGATAACGGATCCCTTTTCAAAACTCTCCAGTGGTGATCCATTTTGAGAGCTAAAGCAATGAAAAGTTAGAGAACCTAAAGTAAAAGATGCTGCTGCCAATCGCTCCATAGTCTTCGTTTTGGTGCACTTACTAAATTCCTTCTCCCTTTCTGACTGTGCGCAATACTGATCCTTGCAAAGCAGGATTGCTAGGTCGGATAGAAGGAGTTGACATCACTGAATTGAAGGCTCGCTTCATAGGGATTAAGTTCGTATTGCTGGATGGGATGACTCCGTCCTTGCTCTTGAGAATGGCCAGCAAATCACAGCCGTGTGATTCATTAAAGTCTTTCACTGTCATTTGCTTGATTGATCTCGGTAGCTTGACAAGTTCCGTGGAAAGAATTTCTTCTTGCTGACATTTGTGCTGATTCAATTCGGCCTTGAGGACGCTGCAGATGTTGTCGAATTTGCCGTCCAAATCTTCGAGCAAGGCATTCACTTGATCAATTTTGCTCCCATCGAAACTTGATGAATCGTTCTCGTTCACATTGCCTAGCACTTGACGCCCGGAATTGGGAAGATACGATCGCTGATACAGAGTGGATGACATTATTATTACTGGTATTTTACTGAGTAGCTGTCTTTCAGTTTAGCAACAACAACAGAGGGATGCCGGAGGCCGGAGACAAAGTCGTTTGTAGTTCGAATTGTTTTGCAAGTTGCCCGGCCGTTACAAAACCAATTTCAAAAAATCGCACAACTCGCGCGCGATCGGAATTGTCAACATTTAATCTGTTGACGATTGACGATTCAACATCACCTCAGGCATGGACCACGGTGTCGTGACTATCTCCGTCCGAGTCTCCAACCAATAACTGAAACAACTCAGGCAACAAACCAAGGGCAACGAAAAATATGCGCTCTCGCCTTTCATTTCAAAAAGATTCTTTCGGGGAGGACCAAAACCTTTCCTTGTGCTCAACCTCATCAACGGGAGAAGAATCATCAAGCCAATACTCGCCACTTTCCAAAAGCCTATCAATTGCTCCACTAAGCCCCCCGTCGAGTCCAATGAAGGTCAAAACTATCAATACATGGTGCAAAACATGGTGCGCGCTGCCCTTGATTCTACTACTGGACTTGTTTTGTTCCTTGGTCTTTCTGAAATATGAAATGGTGTTGGATCCTGGATTTGCAGCCAAAATAGCGAATGCTGAAGGAAAGCTCCACCATGTGGACAAAATCAATATCGTTGCAGGCAAGACACTAGAAGAAGAAGTACAAAATGTCATGATTGGTACCGAAATGGCATTTAACATTTCTCAGAACTTGCTTCCTCAGGCCGTGGTGATGCTGGATCCAACTCCTAAAGCAATGCAATCCAATCTACGAGCCAACTCCAATGATGTACAGCAAGCGCTGAATCACCATAAGTATCTTATCCCTGATTCGGAATGGTATGTGGATCTGGGAGCGGTGGATGCTGCTCTAGAAAGTGGAGACGGGTGCATTGTCTACAGCTTTGGTATTGGCAAGGAGGATCTGTACACCAGTTTCATGGCGGAGAAAGGGTGCCATGTGTACGCCTTTGACCCAACCCAAACTCATCCTCGCTATTGGAAGCCGAATGTCGAGTTCTTTAGTTGGGGAATCCGGAACAGCGAGGGCACTACCAATGTCGGTTGGTCTCATCCAAAGTACGGGCATTTGGTTGGCAGTTTATTTTCCTTGCCAGAGATTGTAGAAAAGCTGGGTCATCAGAATATGGCCATTGCGGCTCTCAAGTTTGACTGTGAAGGCTGTGAATATGGAGCCTTTCAAGACATTGTAGATTATGAACAAGCATCCGATCAGCGATTCAACCGAATAGGTTCCTTGACCACTGAGTTTCACTTTGCAACAACCTTGGGCATGGAAAGTCTGCAGGACGTGGCAAACATCAAGTACGCTGATGCGTTTTTGCGGTCCCAAGACTGTCGTGTCATTCATTACAAACCCAACAAAGGATTCAAAAAGGATCGCACAGTTCATGCACACTTGGTCAAGAATGGAGTTCCAGATGGTGTCTGTTGTTATGAATATGGATTCTCTTGCAATTGAGACACTATATACTGTAGAGACGAGATCGAATACTGTCCTGTGTTCGAACAGTAAAACCTATTGCTGCTAGGAACACTTACTTCCTAGAGCAGTTTTTATGATTCATATGTAAATGTGTAATGCAATGAGTGAAACCACATGGACCCAAATTAACTACTGTATCGCGATTGATTGATAGATTGATTTATGCTCATGATGCAAACACACACACTACTGCACAATATATTCCAGCCACTTTTGATAATTCAAGGCAAGAGCACAGCAATTTCCCATGAAATAAGGCTATCACTTATTTGATACTAGTACTAGCACGGAAAGAGTGGCGTTAGCTTCAAGAGCCAAACAGCCAACGGAAAATTTGATTATTCTAGATCTCTCGTTTCCTTATATTGATCTGTACAACATGTTAGGGTCCTTGTATTTATCGGACGTAGATGGCGGCTTGCTTGGTGCGGACACGGTAGTCAAAGTCAGTGGAGTATCCTTGTCCCTTGGTGCTGTCAACACTGGCTGCGAGTGACGCGATTCCGTTCTCGTTAACGTAGGCATCGAAAGCACTCTTCAAAGCACCCTTATCCTTGGAGCGGATGGCAGCGAAGATTGCGTTGGTTCCGGCAATGGCGGCTGCCTTCTTACCCTTGTTCTTGGCACCTGGGTAAGCACCCGAGTTGAAGAGGATGAAAGCGTTCTTTTCGGCGGCAACAGCACCAAAGTCTCCAGCAGCGACGGCATCCTTCAAGTCCATGATGCGGGATCCGTAGTTGTATCGGGAGCGTTGGACGGTGGCCTTGGAGATGGCACCATCAGCAGAGGCCATTTGTGGAAGGGCGACAACACCGGCGGCGGCGATGGCTCCCATGGCGGCACGGCGGTCCATGCTCAAGGAAGTGCTGGCACGCTATGATATTAGGATCAATCAATAAAGAAAGAAGGGGTTGGTGAGTTGATTGAAACTTGGTGCAACAACGGGCATCTCTCAAGTCACTCGGTCATGGGATGATTCATTCATCTGTCCATCAATTGAAAAATCGATCTTCGAAGAAACTTTCCGTCTGACCGAAATTTGCGCTGAATGAGAAACCTACCTCGGTGGTGGCAGGAGCGAAGGCAGCAGCAGAGGCAACAAGAAGGGTGGAGATAACAGCGGTGAACTTCATGGTGAATGTTGTTTTAGTTGACAGGAATTGAGATTGTAGTTGGGCGAGGTTGGGCTACAATCGATACGTCATGAAAAGAGCAGCAGTGACACTTGAAGATCCGTACAAGTTGGATCGGCGTATCCAAAGTACCAACCTTGTACGTACCGGTAGGAAGATTTGGTTTCAACCTTATCCGGCTTACAGACGTTGGATGTTCGGGCGGCGGACAGACATCTTAGTCGAATCGTGATTCTGTCTGTCCAGCCATCCATCGCATTCAACATTCACTCAAGAGTAAAAATTCACTCTCACATTGTGTACTTGTACTGACTGGTCTTACTAGTCGACCATTAATCGTGAGAAATATAGGGTCTTACTAGTCAAAGCAATTAATCGTGAGTCATTTTCCGTTACGATGATCGCAGGCCATCAAAAACATGGAGGCACGTGCAAATAATAAACAGTACATAGGCACAATAACCGCCACAATTTTGAATTTAGTTGGTTTTCGTCGACTTCTCACTCTCCCAAGGAAATGATAGTCTAGGAACGAAAACAAACAAATATAATACAACATTTCAACATGGCAGCGGTCAAGAGATTGAACGCTCGCAAGGGCATTTGCAACACCAATCCCAAGTATAGCGTTGATTCGTCAGCACCCAAGATGAGAGCTCCTCAGGCAGCAAACGCTGGACCTCCGCTGCCACAGTTGTACGTTGATACCATTACAAGAGCCTTTGGTGAAGACGCAGACTTGCACAGAGACGTACTGAGAATAGCACCTGATGCAATGCCGATCGAGCAGCGAATTGCCTACTTCAAACGAGGACGAGAAATCATGAAACAAGCTGGCTCAGCAATCACAGCACCGAGAGATCTTCCTCCTACCATTCGAGCTAGACTCAAGGCCATTAACATGGCTTACGATATTATTTCCAATCCAGAATGGCACAGACAATATGTGACACGTAATGAGCAGTCTCCACGGATAAAGTCTGGTGTTCGATTCAATGATCACATTCAAGAACATGTCTATGAACTCGACCCAGCAGAACGAGAATATATGCGTGAAAGGAGAGAACGAAGAATGCAGCGGCTGAAAGAACTGGAAGCTGATGCGCTTTCAAACGAATCCTTTTGGAACGACTTGTTGGCCGACATGGAAAATTTTGAGCTAGGATTGGGTGGCTTTCTGCAAGCTTTTCCAGATCAGATCGCTGGTCAAGAACTACAGGAGGCGCTGACAGATGACAGCAGTTTCCCAGATACACAAAGCTTTTCTTCCTGGCTGTCAAGTTCTGTGAAGAAGGGAGGGTCCTTGGTGGATGATGACATTGAAACAAGTAGCTACATGAGCTCATTCAATCCATTTGCAGAAGAAACTCCCAGAAGTTCTTCAAAAAGTTCTTCAAGAGGGAATGTGAGAAGTCCGACATCACTTCCGCAAGAGCTTGCCGAGACGAATCGAGTCCCGAGAGGTGCGGGAAAGAAGGAAACCCGCAATAGCAACCCGTTCCGTGATGAGGTCCCTGATTCATCAAGCACGTTCAATAATGACGATGATACGACTAGCCTATTTTCAGATGGACCTCTCGATATATCGCCAGTAACCAGTCCATTTGACGATGAAGATGATGATGACGATGCGACCAATCCATTTGAAGATGGAGCTTTGGATATAACTAACGATGATGCTCCTGACGATGTCTCCAACCCGTTCTCTGCGGCTGCATCGGATTCAAGGTTTAGCATTGGAACCTTTCAAAAGATGCAAAAAGAGCGCAGAGCACAACGAGCTAGTACACGTTCTTCCAATAGTCAAATCTCCCAAGATCTAAAGGGAGCTTTTGATAATCCGAGAGCATCCGCAGCACTTGACAATGACGATGGTCGACTGACTCAGCGGCAATCTAAGAATCCTTTCGATGATGAGGAAAACGATGTTTCGGGCGATCAAACGTCTGTTTTCGATGGCTTGGACGAGGTCTGGGATGACGAACAAGGGGTCCATGTGGACGGAGAGTCGGTCATCAGCGACTTGAGTGAGAGTGTGGTTGCGAAACGCGCAAAGCAAAAGCAACAAGCTTTTCAACCTTTTGCTATGGATACGGTGAAAGAGGACACTCCTGGCTCCTCTAACCTCAACAAGGATGCTTCAGCTGAGAATCCAAGTTGGGGTGGTTCGGAAAATGAACAAGTCGGTTTCACTGCAGCGGCTTCTGCAATTGCTGCGTGCTGTGCTAATATAGTGGCCGATTGTCAGAAGAATACCGAAGCAATGGCAAACTTGGAAATGAAGAACTTTACTACAATCGACTTTCCAAGCATGTTCACAGCCGAACAAAGTAAAAAACCAGAGCTGGAGCAGGATCCTTTTGATGAAATGGAGGAGCTGTTTAAAGAAATGGGTGACGAGCTTAATGATGAGCTAGGTGAATTTTAGAGAAAGCTAGAGGTTTTGCTAGGCGTTTGGTGCCTAGTTTGTAGAATCTAATGAGCATAATTAATAATCTTCATTTCAATACCATGTAAATACATATGAAATTGTTGTGTACTAAAATCAATTCTTTACTATTACCCAGATTGCTGGTGTATCAAGTACATATCCAGCTTATCATCGTCGTCATCATTTTTCTCCAATTGTGCCGGTGGCGGCGGCAGAGCATCATCTTCATCCTTTACGAAGTCCCCATCATCGTAGGCCGACAATTGCGAAAATAAAGTCGTGCTAGGCACCGAAATATCAGTCCCTGTTTGATCTCTTGGAACAGGCGGTGGCATGGCATCCTTGGAATTTGTAGAAGGGCCAGTTGACTTTTGAGTTGACAGATTATTGGCCACCGAGGCCTGCATCCTTTCCCAGGCTTCGGATTTCTTTCGAGCCATTAAATGCTTTTGAGACTCGTCCTCTTCCTCTTCTTCGGAATCAGTACACTCCAACAGATTGACGGTCGACTTTGTTGTGTTCAACATGGGTGGGACTTCGGGTCCAGCAGCCGCTAGCTCGAGCTGATGAAAGAGAGTCTCTTTATTCCGAGTATCAAGACTCAGCGAACCAAAACTGGCACCAATCGCTTCCAAGCCGCCATCGACCATGTGGGTTCCAAAACTCATGGCACTGCCAAAGCTGAATCCAGCATTTTCCAATTTTCCTGTGCCGGTACTCATCATGGACACGTCCCCAAAAGAGGCACCGGGAACATTTTCGAGGACACCTGAACCTGTCGGTTCCGGCATTGCCTCTGCTTGCTTCTTGAAGCTCATTGCGGTTCCAAACGAAGTTCCACCGGATTCCAACTTGCCCATTTCATTTTCTGTCATCATCATAGAGCCATAAGAAAGTCCTGCAGGTTCCAATCCACCATCTGGTGGAGGAGCTGAGATATATTCATCAAAGTTGGGCACGTTTGGATTGTCTCCTTGACGGTGCTGTTGTTGCTGGTGATGTTGATGTTGTTGGGAAGGTTGCGAGGATTGCTGGGATTCATGCGAAGTGGATGGATCATATGGGATGGGTTCAGAATCCGCGACATTTTGTGGTGCTGTCATATTTCCAGGCATTTGTTGCATCTGAGCTGCTTGGTGTGGATGCATCATTTGCTGCTGATGCATATGCTGCATCTGTTGTTGCATCAACTGAGGATGCATACCCGGATAAGCTGGAACCATCATGCCGTGTTCATTCATAACCATAGGTGGATAGCCTTGCATACCCATCCCTGGTGGCATTTGTGGGTAATGCATCATTGGGTAAGGATGTTGTTGCATTTGTTGCATGTGATAAGGATGCATTGGCATTCCACCATTCATCATGTACGGTTGCTGAACCATCATTGGCTGTTGTTGTTGCTGCTGTTGTGCTGACATAGCGTGTACAGGTGCTACTGCTGGAGAAACATTGGCATTACAAGGAACTCCGTCGGAAACCGGAGTGTTGTTGGAATTCGATTTGCCATTTGTCGTTTCTTTGTTACTGTCTTTCGCAGGGGTGGATTCTGGACCCGGAGTTTCCGCAGGCTTTTCCGTAGATTCTCCGGTGTCTTTATCGGCTGCGACTTTTTTGCGAATGTCTGGAGCACCCTCTCGCAG